TTACAGCATCAAATTTTGTTCATTATATCTTATTCAACAGTATATAAACTGATTGCTGGTACCACACTGCTAACAAACTAAAAAAATATTACAGCTGGATTTTGGGATGCCCTATTCTTTCACCTGAAAAAAAATTTGTTTAAAATTCAAAAAACACAGTGGCCATAAGTCTGGAAACATAGGCCAAAAAAAACATAATAAATGCTACTGATATTATATGATATAATATGTTCAATAATATCATGGGGTAAATTTAACACATTGTCCCTAATTATAATAGTCAGAATCAACCTCAGATAAGCTTTTCAGGAAATGTATCTCATGTGGAGGAAAGACTTTTGTCTTAATCTTTTGGATGGTACTATGAAGCAACCTAGTTCCTTGGATGTTCATGGGTTTGCCCCTTTGGATTGGCTATTATCTTTGCAATAACTGTTTCCTTCTTCTAGTTTTAAAAAAGATGGCCATTCACAATAAGGTTTATCTGACACACTACCTGTATCCCTGAATGTTTTTTTTTTTTGTCTTTTTCCATGTCCGGCAACGGATCGCAACCCTCAGTGTCGCCCCCGTACCGGACCGGGACCGGCAACGGGATCGCAACCCTCGGTGTTGCTCCTGCACCTCACTCAGCCAGTGAGCGGGAACCGGTCTGTATGTGGGATCCGAACCCTCGGGCGGGAGCGCCACCACGCTTCCCAAGCGGCGCACTATCCAGTGCGCCACCGGGCCGGCCCTGTATCCCTGAATTTTTGGATCAGCTTTCCAACTGTGCTATGGGAGACAGCAGCTCTTCTAGAATGACATGTGTTGAAGTGCTGTGCTAACCATCAATATCCAGCCCTAGCATCCACTCAGCAGAATCAGCTCAACGTATTTATCTTTTTGTCAAGGCCATCTTTAATTGGTAAAAAATAAAATATCTATGTTTCCAGTCTTTATGGACACCCTTCATTTACCCTTCCTATCTTTTAAATCAAGAATCAGCACACTTCTTCAGAAACGTCTGGATAGTAAATATTTCAAGTTTTGCAAGACATACAATCTCTATCACACCTACTCAACTCTGACTCTGTAGTGAAAAAGCAGCCATAAACAATATGTTAACAAGTGGACATGACTGTGTTCCAATAAACCATTATTTATAAGAGCGATGGCGGGCTCCATTTGTCCTACAGGCCATAGTTTGCTGAACCTTATCCTATATAATTATTTTATATGTTCTTCTCTGTCCTCAAACCTCCAAGAGCTTCTTCCCCATCTTTATTTCAAACTGTTCATCTCATTCTCTATTTCACTGAAAAAAACTAGAAAGCAAGAAAAAGAAAAATTCCAAGAGCTCCCATAACCATATCTACCCATCTACCTGCATCTTTATCTTATCTCTGGTTACTGTGAATGAATTGTCTGTGCTCCTAGCAAAGTCCAGTCCCTTTACTTGTACACTAGATTTTATCCTCTCTCATCTATTTAAGGAATTGCTCTTGCAATTCTTCCCTTATTTTCTTGCATTGTCAGTTTTTCTCTTTCTCTTGGGTCCTTTCCATCAGCCCATTATCTGCTGTAATCTCTGCCTTAGAAACAAACAAGCCCTTGTCTGCTGGCCTCACTTCCCCTTTAAATATATACCATTTTTCCCCTTTCTACATATAACAAAACTCTAAAGCGTCCCTACTGTCTCTAATTTTTCCCCTCTATACTCTTGGATATCAAGGTCCCTAAAGACTTCCATATTGCTGAATACAATGGCCAATTCTTTTTCTTTCTTTGGTTTCACTGATTCTCTTTATTGTTTTTCTATTTTCTATTTTGTCAGTCTTTTCTATCTCCTAATCCAAGAGTCAGTACACTTCTTCTGAAAAGGGCCAGGTAGTAAATATTTTAAGCTTTGCATGATATATAATACCATTGCACTAAGCAATATGGAAGTCTTTAGGGACCTTGATAAGAGTAGTTTGGGTAGAATGATGGGAAAGGTAATCTTTGCTCTTCTTTTTCTAGTCCCTTAAGGTGGAGATCAGTTTGGTGGTTGCCAGTGGATGGGGCTTAGGGGAGGAATTGATTACAAATAGAAGAGGCAACATTAGGGAATTATTTGGGGTATTGGTATTCTTCTGTATCCTTTTTGTGATGGTGACTACAAGAATTTATGCATCACAGACATGAAAATAAAAAGATAGCCCAATCATCTCACTTCTTGGCACAAACCCTCATTGGCTTTCCTTTCATAATAAAAGCAAGAGCTGTCACAGTGCTCTACAAGGCAGTATGAACTGGATTCCCATTACTTCTGTGACCCCATGTTCTACTACTCCCTCTTGATTATTCTGCTCCAGCCACACTGGCCTCTAGACTTTATCTCAAACATGGAAAGGAATGCTCTTTCCTCTGGCTTTTCCCCCAATATCTCCATGTTTATTTGCACTCTTAACTTCTTCAAGTCTTTATTTCAAATACTACCTTCTCATTGAGGTTTTCCCCAAAAACCCACTCTAAATTGCAATCCTATCCTTGTACTCATTCTCCTTCCTGCTTTGAGTTTCCCCTTAGCATTTAAAACCATCTAAAATACAGCATATTTTTGCTTATTTTTTGGTTCTTCCCATATTAAGATAAACTCCATTAAGAAAAGGATTTTTTTACTGTTTTATTCACTCCAATATTCCCAGAGCCTGGAAGAATGTCTGGCATATTCTAGGTACTTAATAAATAGGAGGGTACTTCAAAAATTTCATGGAAAGATTCGTAATTTTTAATTCTATTTTTCCCACAAACTTTTTGAAGTACTTTCGTATTTCTTGAACGAAAGATGCAAAGTAAGTGTTTGTGGAAAATCCTTTACTTTCCTTCTATAGGCTATGTTCTTTCTTGCTTCTCCCTTCTCCCTTCTTACTGAAAGGAATGTAAACTATGACCAGGACAGAAACATGTCTGAGCATGAGAACAAAAACCAATATGGTAAGGATGACAAAATGAAAAGAACAACATAGAAAAAGCATAAGTCCTGGTGGCATCAATAAACCACTGTCCCAGTCCAGGTCTGCCTAACTTACCCTTCTTGGCATATGATAAAAATAAACCACTACTGATTGAGCAGCTATAGGAGAATTTGACTCCTAAATGATCACATAATCAGAAATAAAAGTACAAATGATTTACCTTTCTGTATACTTTAATAAATTAAAACCCTGTGTAAAAATAATCCTCTCATAGGTTTATCAATCCAGCTAGTTTTTGACCATATCAGGATTTCTGATACTTTTTAAAACAATCTGAACAAAAATTACCATACAGTAAAACAATTAAAGTCCAAAATGATTTGATTGAAAGTCTATTTATTTGGTTGCTTGGCTCAGGTCATAAGAATAAGTGTACATCAGATTTCAAAGTATCCAAGAAAGTCTTTAGAAGATTTACTGTGTAGGGCTGGCTGATTAGCTAAGTTGGTTAGAGCACAGTGTTGATAATACCAAGGTCAAGGGTTCCATCCCTGTACAAGCCAGCCGCCAAAAATAAGTAAATAAAATAAAAGATTGATTGCGGTTAGCTAAGTTGGTTAGAGCACAGTGTTGATAATACCAAGGTCTAGGGTTCCATCCCTGTACAAGCCAGCCGCCAAAAATAAGTAAATAAAATAAAAGATTGATTGTGTAGACATCAAGAGACTGAGCAAAAAGAGATTAAATCTGCAGAATCAAAACTGACACTTTCTGTTCTTTACATTATGACAAAGCACATCACAATTATGAAAAGGAAAGCTCTTTGCTGCTTCAGATAACAAAATAATCAGTCTCTAGCCATCTAGGTCTGGCTCCCAAAATAATAAAGCTTTGAGCATTTCCCATAAGTTGGCCTCCTCAGCAAAAAGCAGATTTATCCCTGATTTCTGCCATGGTGATATCTAAAGATAAGTCTTGACATCGTGAATATTGTAGTATTTTTCCATGATGAATAAGTGTATGTATACTTGTGACCTTGGTAATTTTGTGGTAAATTTCAACACGTCGAGGAGTGAAACGTACAATGCAGATTTGTTCCTACTAAAGTTAAGGTAGCGGTGGCTCTTTATCCTTAGGAGTGGCTCAGTGACGGCAGAGGTAAATTATTAATTAAAGGAACGACTTATTAAATATGGGCATGCCATAATATACAGGGACCACGAAGATGCTACGCATAACTTTACTAAAAGGGATTAGGGATAAAGGCATGAAATAAACATCCTCGGAGTTCAGGCCTTCCTAACTCACAGGAACGGTCAACTAATGCGGGAAGCTAAAACCGAGGTACAAAATCCTTAGCAAACCAAAGAGCAGCGACCCCGGAACTTGGCGGGGATGGGACGGAATGTCAGATCGGTCCAAGCTGCGGTACTGAACGTGGGGGAGAAGGATGCGACAGCATCCCGGAGTAGGAGCTTCCAAAAGGAAAAGCAAGGACCCCGGAGCTGTGGAGATTCCGTAGGAACGTTTGCGATGCTCACAGGAATAGGACAAAGTGACCGCTAACCGGAGAAGCAAATAGCTGTTCAAGAAGCCGGAAGGAATCCTTCAAGCCAAGAACCAAACTGTGTGACCAACAAATGATTTGTCGCGGGATGCTTGCTTCATCTCGCAGCACCCGAATTACAGCGGCAAGAAAGGAGCGGAGGCCTTCGGTGGGGGAGACTGCAGGTCACGTGGCACGTTGTGCTCCACCTTTCCCTTCTGGCCGAAAAACCTATGCAATCAGATTGACCACGCCGGAGAGAAATCTGTCTGCACTAAATAATAGTGTTGCGATATCTAATAGAAAGTCATTGTCTCTATGTCTCTTTTTTGCTTTTCCCTTTCATATGTGTGTCCTAGTTTGATGTCCAAACAAACGACGGCCGCACAGACGCTGGGTCCTACCATAGAGTCGCGGGCCTAGAAAAGCCCACGTGTGAGTTCCGTGTGCCGGCGAACGCTGTGTCACCCGGATCTGCAAAGGAAGTTCGGGGCGGGGCCGCGGTCGGGAGTTGCTGTGTCTGCGCGAAGATGGTGGAGGAGGAGAGTGTCCGCGTGGTTCGTTGCGGTGGCAGCGAGTTGAATTTTAGAAGAGCTGTGTTCTCCGCAGATTCTAAGTATGGAGGCAGCGCTCATTGTCGGGCGGGCTGAGGGGAATGAGTCCCGGGAGGGCGGGAAGAAAGACCTGTCAGGCGCATCCGGACTCGCCAGCCGGTGGATCTGGGGACTGCGGAGGGGACGCGCGTGCGGGGGACGCCAGGGCACGGGGGGAGGGAGCTGATGCCTGTGTGCTCTGAGAGGAGTGAGAAATCCCTTCGTCCTATTGCGCCTCAGCCTGGACAGCAGGGAGATTGAGGGGCTCAGGGGCCAGTCCACGTGTCTAAAATCTGCTAGGTTCTGGGTCAGCTGGAAAATGGTCCAAGCCTGGATGTGTACACCACTGCCTTGTAAGACCACGAGGAGTATCCCCACTCCTTTGTACAGAATGGCGTTTTGGAATTACTGAACTCAAAGATTCCACTTTCTCCACGCTTCCCCGACCCCCATCCCTGAAAAAAGGCATTCTGGCAACGTTTTTGAACCTTTGCATGAAAACTGATGTTAGAATCTGTGCGGGTTAAAAACATGCTAAGATCTCGATTCTTTCTTCAGGACTTCTGCGTAGAATATCTTATGGAAGTATATCTCCCACAATATCCTGCATATGGGTGTATGGCAGATAGTTGTTGAATGCATGCATGACTAAAGGAGCTTTCATTCATAATGGCCTCTGCCCTGTAAGATAAGGAATGTGGATCTATACTTAAATAAGTATTCAGTGTGCGCAGGATGCTTTGGGAGCACAGAGAAGACGTCCAGCCTGAGGATTCTGTGGTTTGTACCTTCCACAGTGTATGGATATGTTAGATAGAGCAAATATTTTTATTTGAAAGATATTAGATTTCACATTTCTGAGCTTTATTCTGTAGTAATATCTATTATGAAAATAGTCAACTATTACCCCAACTTAACCACTTTTAGTAATTTAGTAGCCTCTGCTGTATGAAAAAAAGCTATAAATCCAGAAAGAAAAGCAAAACAAGCACATTTCAACAAGAAAAAAAACTGTCATAAAGACATGAAAACACGCTGCTGTTAGCAGAACCACTGAAGAGTAATAGTTGTTATTGATAGTAAGGAAATACAGAGCACAGTGTCTGCATTCCTATAGTGAGGAGGCTACTTGATTCTGTATAGCTTCTGCCTGTGGAACAGGTGGAGATAAGACATTGGCCTCATCAATCTCTTGTGAGTTAATGAACTGATTGTTCTTGTGTGACCCCATAGACACATAAATTTGAATATACAGTTCTTAAACTATTGTTATGAAAGAAACCTCTATTGCATGTTATTTTTTTATCATGGACAATATGAAAAGACTATACTACCGGTAGAGTATGTGATTTTTTTTTTTTTTTTTTTTTATATATTTTCTGTGTGTCTGGAGACTTTGTTAAGGTTTATAGCACAGCTACAGAGGAATGTGTACACATATTGCATGGACACGCAAATCTGGTGACTGGAATCCAACTTAACCCCAACAACCATCTACAGGTATCAAACAGTTTATAATCAAATATTTAAAATATTAAAATGTTAAACACTGGCTGTGTTGTTGACAGAAAAATTTGAGTTGAATTTGGCTGGGAAACTTTCCAGGTTATGATCGGGGAAATATCTGTTTCAGTTTTCTATTAAGGGTATTATTTACTTATTTTTAGTTATTAAAATAGAGTCCCATTGTCCTAGAACTGCATGGCTTATAGTATATTCTGTGAACATTTTATTCCACTGTATTACCTGAAAAAGATGTTCTTGGTTGTATGTGTTCCTGAAATTCAGGGTTAGGCACAGTAAATGGGTTTCTTGATTGTAGATCTTCTTGGTTCCCCTGTATGCATTGTGATATCTAAAAAGGGTGTATAGTATTTGATGTTTCTCAGGCTTATTTGACCTTTGAACCCTTTGGTTTCTGGAACGCATTTTTGGAAAACGCTGGCTGAGTAGTACTTGTTTGGTAGATCTGTTTCTTTAGATATGAGACTCTTGAGGGTTAATGCATATGTTACCTAATCTTAACACCAGGGTCTAGATGCTTGTTCAGTTAGTGGATCAACCAGTTAATTCAAGACAAATTTGGGGATCTAGTTTAGTCCAGACATCCCCACTTGCTTTTTAAAGAATTAAAGAGTAATTAGATGGTTTTTTAATTCTGTTTTTAAGTTTCAGCAAAGCTACTAAAGAGTTATCTCAACAGTATTTTGCTCTTGCTCTAGTTTGGATCAAATTCCATTTTTCTGTTTTAGACACAACCAGCATTGGAAGTTATTACTTGATTTAAGAGTGGATTTGCATTGTCATTCATTGCATTATCACAAAGGAAGTAGGGCATAAAGTAACACTGATCTTTTCTTTCCAAAATTAAATGACCTACTCTTGACAGCCAAAGTTAAGTAACTTTTCTGTATGATCCACACATACATTTTATCCTTGCTGTCTTCTGAGGGTTTGGCAAAAGTTTATTGTTATGTGTAGCATTTGAATATTTTTCATAGCAAAAGTATTTTGTTGAAATTGAAACTTTTGAGGTCTATAATAAGTTTTATAGCAAAACAAAACCGTAAACACATTGCATAAAAGATCTCTTTCAGGTGACTGAAAGTTAATAAAATCAGAGGAGGGCAGTATTATCAGCAGTTTTGGTTGAGGTAGTGTGGGGGCCAGAGATTCTATGGACTTAGTCACAGTATTTGTGTATTAACAATTAGCTTGACAGTGATTATACATTTGATGTATATAGTCTTTATGCTATATGTAGTGTGACGTATATTTTTTATTTTTACTTGGGTAGATAATGTTATCTTACATTTTTTATTTCTATTTTCTGAGTCTATGTTACTATTTACAAAACCTAAAATTGCCACTTTCTTTCAAAAAACTTAGAATTCCTTATGAGCATTATTATAAGCAAAGTATTTTCACATAAAAACAACAAAATCCAATGTAACTTTACCAAAACTAAGTCCACTGGGGCAAAATAAAACTACGTGTTACTAAGGCCTTCTGGTGCTACCAAAGTGTGGTCCACAGACCACTGTCATAAACTGTTGGTTACCAGTGTACAATGAAATAAGTATAGAAATTGAGTGTCCCAACACTTTTCTGGTGCTACCAAAGTGCGGTCCACAGACCACTGTCATAAACTGTTGGTTACCAGTGTACAATGAAATAAGTATAGAAATTGAGTGTCCCAACACTTTTCTGGTGCTACCAAAGTGCGGTCCACAGACCACTGTCATAAACTGTTGGTTACCAGTGTACAATGAAATAAGTATAGAAATTGAGTGTCCCAACACTTTTCTGGTGCTACCAAAGTGCGGTCCACAGACCACTGTCATAAACTGTTGGTTACCAGTGTACAATGAAATAAGTATAGAAATTGAGTGTCCCAACACTTTTCTGGTGCTACCAAAGTGCGGTCCACAGACCACTGTCATAAACTGTTGGTTACCAGTGTACAATGAAATAAGTATAGAAATTGAGTGTCCCAACACTTTCTAGCACTTTAATATTGCAACAGTGTGCAAGGGTGTAATAATTTCAGTTGTATTTCATGAAAGTATTGCTCCTGACAGATTGGAAGGGTTTGGGTTTTTTTTAAAACATAACAATCTCTGATCAATCTCTGAAGCACACCATTAATACTCATGTAATGTTAAGGCAGGTCTTCTAATAAAAATGAACTGGGTTCTGGCAGAAATAGCAACAAGTTCTAGAGTGCTTTTCATAAATCAACAGCTTACCATCTCCTTCTTCAAGATAGAAGATTGACTTTTCCCCCTCAGTTTTAGTTAAAATTTGAAATTGCTATATCTGTTTCTTCCAGAGGGCTATGATAAGAGTGTCTTTTTTGCAGAAGCAATGTTAAATTAAGTAAATGACTCTATGTCTTTAAGGCTAATAATGAACAGAAAAATTCCTTCTCTGTCAGCACTTAATTATTCATTTGATATCTTAATAGATGTCTATTTTTTAATGAATTTTGTATTATTTTTACCCTTTTAGCTGTATTCTTGTTCTTTTGATGGCACAATTAAACTGTGGGACTACATTGATGGCATTTTGATAAAGGTATGTGGATGCTTTTCAGTTTTTTCTTATGTGAAAAGAAATAACAATATAATTTAATAATAAACATATCGTTGCCTTCTATAAGGTCTAATCTTTAGATAGCCTTAAGCAAATCATGAAATTCATATAGCATTTAAAAAAAACATAAATTTGACTATATGGACATTTTAAACTTCTACCACAAAAAGACAAGTAAGAAAACTGAGAGAAAATACTTACAAAAAATATTATTTCTAACACACAAAACAAATTTCAAAACCCAATAAGGGAAAACTAATAGGTTAGTAGGAAAAAATTAGCATAGGGTAGGAATATATAAATTGAGAGAAATGGAAATAACCAATAAACATGAATAAATGCTTAACCTCATTACTAATTAAATTTAAGTTAACAGATGTCACAGATTTTTCCATATAATTTAGCCAAATTACATGTTGAAAAAAATCTAGCGATAGGTAAAGTGTAGAGAAACAAGTATAATCAGTGAGAGTAACTAAATACCTTTTGCTCCAGCACTCTCACCTATAAGAATCTCTCACTGAAATAATGGCATGTATATGTAGTCCTTACAGCATTGTATATGGCAGAAAAAGAATTAAATATAACCTCGATATCAATTCAAATTATGATACATTCATCCAGTAGAATAAAACCATTTAAAAGAATCAGGTAGGTCTATATGTGCCAAGCATGAAAAGTTGTCCAACAAATATGTATGGACTATCTCTATCAGCTAGGTTTTCTCCTTAAGTTGGGTGTGTAGCACTGAGTAAAATAGGAAAAATTCCTGCCCTTATGGAACTTACGTTCTACTGGGAGAGAACAGACAGTATACAATATGGTGCTTTTTATCTTTCAGACTTTCATAATTGGACATAAACTTCATGCCCTCTTTACTGTTGCCCATGCTGAGGATTCTGTTTTTGTTATAATAAATAAAGAAAAACCAGGTATGGTGTAATTAACTTAATTTGTTTTTGTATGGCATTGAGTGGTTCTTTACATTTTACAGTTTCTCAAAATTTAACATTTTAGTTTTTTTTTTTTTTCCTTTTTGTCTTTTTTCGTGTCCGGCAACGGATCACAACCCTCAGTGTCGCGCCCGTACCGGACCGGGACCGGCAACGGGATCGCAACCCTCGGTGTTGCTCCCACACCTCGCTCAGCCAGTGAGCGGGAACCAGTCTGTATGTGGGATCCGAACCCTCGGCGGGAGCGCCACCACACTCCCAAGCGGCGCACTGTAGCAGTGCGCCACTGGGCCGGCCCAACATTTTAGTTTTAATCTGAAGCTAAACAGTTTTTGGAGTTGGCATTTAAATTGCTTTCATTGCTACTGCATTCATTTGGGGAGGCTTTGTATCAGTTCTGAAATATGCAATAAGGAAATGATTTATTATTTATATACAGCTGTAAAAATTGAAATGCTCAAATCTTAAAGGTGTTTTACAAAGGTGGGCTAGAACTTGTCTTCCTATTGAATTTAAATCTGTCATGCTTAAGCGTCACTATCATTTTACCCATCCTTGAAAACCCTTATTTGTTGATCTTGAATTAGTCTAGGAAATGGTATAGAAAATAGGTTGATATTAAGAACCAATAGTGTGACTAAATTGTTATTAATTATATTTTCCCTTTCATTGGAACATTATTTTGTCAAAACAGCCACATTGTGTTGGCGTATTTCTTTAGCCTTAAGTTTTGTAGTGTTATTTTGGCATTGTTCTAAAAGGGGGTGCAGAGAACAAAATAGTCCAGTGAGCTGACTAGATCGATTATATGATACAATAAGATGAAAGGAGTTCTAGAGAAAAATAAGGCAGGAGAGGGGAATAGGCAGTGTTGGAGGAATACGTGCTAAATAAGTGGTCATGGAAGATCCCCAGAGAGAACAGCAAGTCGTGCAGCTCTATTGGAGAAATGTATTCAAGAGCATTACTGACATATTCAAGGTACAGCTGGGAGGCTGGATTGGAGTGAGCTAAGGAGGGATAGATTGTATGTAGCCTTATAGCCTTGTAGGCTATTAGAAGGACTTTGGCTTTTACTCTAAGTGAAAGAAAAAAAAAAAAAACCTTAGAGAGAAAAACATTTTAAGGTGATGTAATGAGAAGAGGACATCAGTATTACAAAAAAAAAAGATTTATCCTGGGAATGTTGCTACAAGCCCATAGCGCTTCTGAAAGTTCTGTCAGATGCCTTGTCACTTTTGACTGCTCGATTTGCCAGCATGCATATTCCATCTGTATTTGAAAGCTCAGCTTAGTACGTTGGAATGAAGGACACACCAGTAAGATACAAGCTGTTTTCTAATTGTATTTCTGCATGTTGGGGCATGTATGTATTTGAGTTGTGGAATTAGATTTCCATTTGTAACTTGGGTATTCAAACAAAGAATCCAACTTTAAGGTACATTTTGTTCGAGATAACCTAGAATTATTATGTTGGCATCACATGAATTCTGTACCGATTAACAGTTTTTATACGAATAAACACAGATGTTCACTTACTCTAGAGAAGCTTTATATTAATGTAGCTCCCTTTGGTTAGATGTATTTCAGCTGGTTTCAGTGAAACTGCCAAAATCATCAAGCCAGGAAATAGAAGCTAAGGAGCTATCCTTTGTTTTGGATTATATAAACCAGTCACCCAAGTGCATTGCATTTGGAAATGAGGTAAATTTTGTTCTGTTGGTCTTCTATTTTGTACATAAAATCTCTTTCCTGCAGTCTTTCCTCTGAGCACTTTATGTTCTAGTGAATGTATGTTGCCTTGAGTTACTATATCATTTTTAGTAACTATGAAGTCTCTTTCATTGCTTTAGCATGTATTTATGGTATAGATTTTTTAAGATCATCCTAATTTTGTATTTTCTGTCCCATTGCCCTCATGTATCCTATAATTGTCCCCCAAATATCAATATTTTTACATTTGTATTGTATTTCTTAGCTTGTCACATGTAAAACCCATTCAGATCCTTTCATCTTAGACTGTGTCTTTAGAAAATATGGCCTCCCTATCCAAAATTTAATATGTCCATTATAAAAAATGTGGAAAATATAGTGAGGAAATAAAATCTATAATCTCACCAAGGATGATATTTAAGGATTCCCTTTCTAGACGTTCCTAAGCATATAAAATAACTTTTCCCAACCAGAATTAGAATCAAAAGGCTTTTTATCAAATCTTTATTTTTTTCACTTAACATTGCAGCATAAATGTATACTGAAATGTTTTTCAGAGAGGATAACTGTGTGATGTTCATACCATGATTAATTTAGCCATCCCCTATTAATTATTATTATTTTAAAATCAAGCACCATTATAAGCCCCTGGACATATTGTAGCGGCATACTTCTTTAGCCTTAACGTTTTGTAGCATTATTTTGGCATTGTTCTGAAAACAGTTAATTTCTCAGAGTACAGAAAACTTTTAACATTATTAATATCATTTTACATTATTATTAATCATCAATTAAATACAAATTAAAACCACAGCAAGATGCCACTTCACATCCACTAGAACAGCTAGTGTTGGCAAGATGTGGAACAAAGTTAAATAAGCATCCTTACCGAACAGCTTCACTCCTAGGCAGAAAAATGAAAAAGTGATTACAAAATGATATGTACAGGAATGATTATTATTCATAGTAGCTCCAAAATGTAAATAACCCGAATGTTCATCAACAAGAGAATAAACAAATTGTGAAATGTATTCATTCAGTGGAATGCTGCTCCACAATAAAAAAGAACTAAGGATGCATTTAAGTACCTCAAAAAGGTGATGTGAGCTAAAGAGGCCAAACACAGGAGTGTATAGTGTCTTATTCCCTTTACGTGGAATTTTACAACAAGCAGAGAAATAAGCTATGGTAATAGAAATGGATAGTTGATGCAAGGGTGGGGATATTGAGGAATGACTTTAAAGAGGAAGAGGGGAACATTTCTGAGGTGAAGGAAATATTCTAGATTTTGATTGTGTTGGTGGTTGATGTGGGTATACACATATGTCAAACACTATATTTTATGGTATGTAAATTACACCTTAATGGAAAAATTTTTTTTTTTTTTTTTGTCTTTTTCCATGTCCGGCAACGGATCGCAACCCTCAGT